CCTGGGTTGGGCTAAAATATTCAATATTCAAAGCGGTTAGGGTTACGTTTTGTGCTTCTTTTGCGACTGGCGGTTGGGCATGGGGATAAGGCTTATAAGAGAATTCTATGGAACGTGAACATAATATATTTTAGTAGAATGTTGAGTTTTGCCTTTTTAAAAAAAAAAGTTTAATGAAAGACTAATTATTATTTACTTGTGACAATGCTTCATCTTGTTTTTAAAATATATTTAACAATATCGAAACCAAGTGCAGTGCTAACTTGTCGAATAGACAATTAGGAAGCACGTATCAATTTTTTGTAGGCTGAAATAAAAATATATTTCAGCGGGGTTAAATACAAATTTCTGGCATTAATTTTTGCTTTTTTTTTAATTTACTGTCACAATTTATAATGAAGTATTACTGCAGGATTAAATTTAAAACATCTTTTTATGTGCATGTCTGCATTTTAGTGTGAATTTAATATTTTAAAAAAGCTGTAATTATCGTTGAGAAAACTAGTTCCCAGGCCCATCAAACAATGGCTAGTCACATGATGACTGCCAGTGTCGCATCTTTCGACACGCCAGTCTCCCCCCCCCCCCCCACCTTAAACCATAATGTTGGAGTCTTACTACAACGACACCGAACTCGGCATTATAACTATAAGCCGTGTCTATTGAAATAAAATACTGAGCCTTAAAATGATATAAATGGGATAAATTATTTTTTTAAAAGCTTGGATTTTAAATTGTATTACTAAATTATACACAGTTAAAGTTGATAAACTAGATGTGTAACTTGCTGTGCAGTCTTTTTAAAATGCTTTCTACATCGATTGTATAGAAGCAAAATAAATGTTGTTTAGACTGAAGTCGTAATGGTCAGCGACAGGTAAAAAAAATGAGGGGGAGGGGGGGGATCATGCATCAGTAGAAAAGCATGAACATGTGAATGCTTGCTTCCTATGGTGACACATTCGCTAATGCCTTAATGAAGCTACTGCTAATACAAGACCCGGATTTTATCTTCGGAACAAAACGTCGACTGCCACTGTGACTTTGTTGGGCTAAACTTTAAATCTAACTATATATTAAACTATGTTCGAGAATGTTAAAAAAAATACGACATTAAAAATATGCCAAACAAATCCCCTTATAAACTCAAGTCGGGCATTATATTTTGTGATGATAGACAACGATAAATCCACTTAAAGCAAGTAAGAGTAAATTAAACACTGTATCGAAAGTGTTAGGAACAGTAGAGTACGCAGGGGGGGGGGGGGGGAGGGGGAGAAGGGGGAGCAGCCGCTCCCCCTCTGGCCATTTTCAGCAAAGTGGCGCTTTTTTTGGAAACTTTTTAAACTCAAAGCTTTAAACAATGATTTTTGTTAAAAAATTATTTTTGGTCGGCACATCTATGTAAATCACAAGATTTATTTTCATGCAGCAATTAAGCAGAATTGTACTATTCTAGTAGCTTCTACGTTTACAACACGTATTATCAGCTGTATCAAGTTTGTCATTCTAAAAATAACCATTACGATGCATTGCAATTTAAAAAAACCTCTACGGGTAGTACCACTTGGCAAGAGGGGTGTTAAGTTTAAGGCAGCTGTATAATGTATTTGCTAAAGAATAATTGATCTAGAAAATATTATACATAAATCTTCACACATAATTACTTTTTATATACAGTTTTAATCGTGTAATTAATTTTAAAAAAAATACAATACAGACACAAATACAACTGATGTGGCACCTCTATTTAAATTTACTTATGGGCAAACTGCGTAGTGGTGGGGAAATTTTGACAAGGTCAACAACGTCATCACGATGAAGTAGTAGTATTATGACAGTTTGGGCGATAGTGATTACGATTACCAATTATATGAAACAGTTACAACCCCCCTCCCCCCAAGGACCCCTCTGTAAAAAAAATAGTGTCATAGTACCTCTGCTACTTATTTAAATCCAGTGGCGTAGGTGGGGGTGCAAATCGAAAGTTTGAGGGGGGGGGGTGCAAATTTGAAAGTTTGAGGGGAGGGGGTGCAAATCGAAAGTTTGAGGTGAGGGGGGTGCAAATCGAAAGTTTGAGGGGGAGGGTGCAAATCGAAAGTTTGTCCCCGGGTAAAAATTGGAAACCCCACCCCCCTTGAGATGATCCTGGCTACGCCACTGTTTAAATCTATTTCAGAATCAGTATATATGTGTAATTGAATACGTATGTTTAGAACAGTCTTCTAAAAACTGACGCTATGCTCACTCTGTTCACCACACACACACACACCTCACCACCACAATTGTGTAGAGCGACATTAATGTCACACCTAGGTATACACTGGGTTGAATAATTGACCTAAAGTGACCTGACAGGGGTGAATGAAGTTGACCCCCCCCCCCACCCCGAACTGATCTGTTAAGTACATTTGGGAAAACGCGTAACGATGTACCAAAGTACCATGCCGCCAGAATCATAGCTTTTGAATCAGGTAAAACTCTGTGAATATTGTTTTTGCAATTACCCGTAAAAAGGTGTGTGATCAATACAGTGATCTAACCCATACCTGATCACTATGTTAAAAATGATCTTTAAAGAACACAAAAAGCAGTAGCTAATTAAAAAGAAGTATGATCTTAACTAAAAGACCGATATTTTAGTTAAATGTACGCTATTATTCCGGATGTTTTGCTATAATATTTAAAGCGTGTTTTTATACCAACTCTGATTTTAAAAACTTTCATTATGCTGTAATACTTTAGCATTTATGATGACGATATATTTAACTCTGATTGTAGACAAAAAAAAATTGAAAACACGAATACTATTAAATAATTATATTACATTCTAAAGTAACCATTGATTTGTTTTGACATTTATAATTAAGTATGTAGATGTATACATATTTATATTAAGAGCGTGATTATTTCCCGCTTGTCTTAATTAATGTCCCAGGAATTATTATGTAAAATTTCTTTTTACAAGAATTACAAAACAGATTGTGTTGCGTTTATTGTTTTTGGTTGTAGTGTGTATATATATATATATATATATATATATATATATATATATATATATATATATATATATATATATATATATATATATATATATATATATATTCTTTACATTGATACATTTTTTGTTTTGTCGACCTATATTGTGTGTTTTTTCTTATTTCTTCAAGTGCTAATAACAATGTATTTTACATCATAGCGAAGTAATGACATACAGTAATTTAATATATATATATATATATATATATATATATATATATATATATATATATATATATATACTAGCCGTCACGGCCAGGCCCTGCTCTGGCTTCTGTGAAAAACCTTTCTGTCAAAGACCATTACCTGTGTGTTTAGTAATCATCATAAACCCGGCATTGCCCACCCAAACCATAACCAACCAACACCAAAACAACAAACCGCAAACATAACGCTAACAAAATTGCAAATGAAAACAAAAACCTAAGAACAAACCCAACCACAACCACAAACACCAATACAAACACAAAGAAAAAACAAACAAAAAAGCAAACGAAAACAAAAACCTAACAACAAACCCAACCACAACGACAAACACTAATACGAACACAAAGAAAAAAAAACGAAAAAGCAAACGAAAACAAACCAAATCCAAACGCAAAACCAACCACAAACACAAACCCTAAGAAAAAACACAAACGAAAACGAAGAAAGAAAGAACAAAAACGAACCAAATCAAAACGCAACCACTAACGCAAACCCAACCTAAATACAAAGAAAACACAAACGTGAACATAAACGCAAAGTGCTCACAGTCTAGCCCGGGGCGGAATCGCCTGTTTCAGCTTAATAAACGACTATAGTACCCCAACTTATTCATAGTCTTTTCCAATCACTTAAACGAACGTAGGTGTTAAACCAAACCAAATGAACAATTATAATACTCCAAGCTTATCCGTAAAATACCTACAACATTTGCACTTGATCAATCCCCGCTAATTATGTAATTATTTTTTTCCCAACACCAAAACAAAGTAATAAAAAGTAAATTCTTTTCCACTAATGCAATGTTTTATAAAGGTAAGTAATTGTGTTTTCCTAATTTATCAAAGGGAAGTAAGTGCTAAAGGACTAAATATAAATAATTTTCAGACATAATTAGAATTTTTGTAAAAGACGATATTTTTTTGAAATTGTGTTTAATGAACATGCCGACAATTATTATTATCACTTTGAGACATGAAAATTATTTGCCAACACTTTCAGTATTATTTTTTTAAACTCATAAATTTAGACCGTGAGCACTATAATAATCTAACACTTAAATACATTGAAGTATCCACGACAAACTTTTTACATACTGAATTGAGCTTGATATATTAGATAATACACGCATATAGAACATGTTAAAATTTCGGCGCCTTTTTTTGCTCATTTCGCTCCCCCTACAACGAAAACCTGGATACGCCTCTGGTTAGGAATTATAAATCATGCACTGCTTCTTAGCTTATTTGTTGGCTAAACTGACAAAAGCAAAAACCCGATTTGAATAGATCCAACAGTTATTTTTTTTACTATACTAATAAGACTCCACACATTATTTCAAACACGTTCTACTAATACATGCTATTCGTGTGTTCTTCCACAGTGAACATCAGTGTATGGTTACTGAAACTGTTGAGACCAAAGAGAACCACCTATGTCGCGACATCATTGCCTTACTGAAACAATCCAATGAGACATCCAGAGTGTATTTTGTCGGCGCTATAGACGGCAGCTCCACCCCCGACCTGACAAGTCAAACGGCAATATGTGTTTATGCAAGGTTTGTTGCGTTTTATTGCTGAAGATACTCTAGTTGTTCTTGTCGAAAATCCTTGAATTCTTATAATAAATTAAACTATAAAGTATAAAAAAAATAATTAGGTGGTATAATATATAAACTTGTATGCATATATTTAAACTCTATATAATATATAAATGTATCATATACATGTGATGTCTACTGCACCCACAGGTCAAATACAATCACAAGAGCAGCTTGTTGCAAAGGTTGGAAGGGTCCAACTTGCGAAGAGCGTAAGACACAATTATTGTTATATGTAGTGTATTATATCTATATAACTGTTAGACACAACACACTCTCCTCTTTCTGTCTCTAAAGTTACAGGCCAATAATGATATATTTATATAGAGCTATAGATGATAATATAGATAGGCCTACAAATAGAGATAAATGTATATAAAATTATAGTCTTGTATAGATATATACATATTTATATACATAGACAGATATATGTATTTGTATAGATCGATAGTTTTATATAGTACCTTTTATATAGTAAGTGGGCTGACCTGTCATTTGTATGTCTTGCAGCTGTATGTGATCCACCTTGCATGAACGGAGGTCAGTGCGTTGAAGCAGAGACCTACCCAACAGCATTGCCAAAGTGCTTGTGTACTTCACCCTTCACAGGAAAACTCTGTCAGGAGAACTTAGATGGTATGTAAACTACTGTAGTGATATGTCTATCACCGATGTTTTAGTGGGATGGTATGTAAACTAATTTAGGGACATGTCGATTATATCTAACTACTGTAGGGACATGTCGATTATATCTAACTACTGTAGGGACATGTCGATTATATCTAACTACTGTAGGGACATGTCGATTATATCTAACTACTGTAGGGACATGTCGATTATATCTAACTACTGTAGGGACATGTCGATTATATCTAACTACTGTAGGGACATGTCGATTATATCTAACTACTGTAGGGACATGTCGATTATATCTAACTACTGTAGGGACATGTCGATTATATCTAATATGCTTTTTAGTTAAAACAATACGCGATTACAAGTCGATTGTACCAAGTTATTGCAGGATATGTCGATTATATTAGGCTATTGTGGAGACACATCTGTTTTAGTGTGGGCAGGGCTCTGTTATGTTACTTATTAGAGAAAAATATTTCTAATAAGTAGGCCCTATAGGCAAGTGTATTTTAGCAGCTGTATTTAGATGTTGTAATATTTCGTAAAATATTTTGAGCAATATAAAGGTTGACTTATTTTTTCTTTAATTTTATAATCAGCTCCGTAAAAACTATGGTTGCTAAGCATTTTAGTTTGCTTTTTTTTAAATTTATAACCCACGAATTCCTATCAAAGTGGTAAATTCCTTTCAGTTCTGAAGAACAGCACGCTGAGGTACTGCTACAAGGGTACAGGCTGTCAGGGAAATCTGAGTTCTCCTCAGGCCATGGAGATCGGTCAGTGTTGTGTTGATGGTTTCTCCGGATCCTGGGGAAGTCAGACTAGTCCATTGGCTTGTTCACCTTGTAACACAGGTAGGACATAGTTTATAGATGACAACAGATGATCGGGCTAATAAACATACATGCATTTATTTAATTGTGCTTCTCTGGTTAAAAACCTGGAATGTGTGTGCTTCCTCACATTTCATTGTTAACAAACTATTAATTCCCATTCCGTGCTGCATTTTTTTCCCATTACCTTAAATGAAAGGACAACTCAACAATAATTTTGCAAATAACTTTTTAATAAGGGAGATAAGTAAAAAAGTGAGTTTTTTTGTAATTGCCTCCCATGCTTATTTTTTAAATTTTATAACGCAGCGTTGGGTCACAGTGTTTGGCACTCGGTTTTATGACAACCCAAAAATTTTAATCTATTTTAATATTAAATTACTCATTAAAAATTAATTAAAAGATTATCATATTCAATAAACGGGGAAATAACAGGCTTTAGAAGTAGAAATCAATCACCAGTCGAGTGATCACGGATGTTTTCAATCTTAGAGCTAACAAAAGACATCAGGAAGGGGCAGATAATTGACAAACTGTCACTGAGATTTACTGATCGTTTCAGTTTTATCAATTTTCAGCATTGTTATTAAATGACAATTAAAAATGAATGGAATTGAAGTAATTTAATATGTTACTTATAATTATTTTCAAATCGTGATTAATATGATTCATTAAATATGTAAATATTTTCTGAATTGAAATTTTTTGGTCCTTTCAGTAAAAAAAACATAATTACATATAGGGCCTAGATCTATATCCTATTGGGCTATTATCCTAGTTGTTAATTCATTAACCATGACAGATTTACCCATGTTTGTACTTATCTCATAGATAGAGCACCACAAAACACTTTCATGTCATACAGCCTAGAAAGTTAGAATATCACAAAGCTGTCTTATGTCATGGACACATAGATTTAGAGCATCACATTTTTTTTGCAGACAAAGCTGTTAAAGTCAACAACAATCTTGACTACGTCACCTGTGTTACATCTGGACCAAGCTGGTACAGAACATTTGACTCTCTACAGTACACCTATCAAACTAACTGTGGTGCTGGTCTCGTAGTCACACCTCAGATCAGGATTGATTCCGTCACTGACTGCGAACCAATGAACACATGTGCATGCTACAAGGTATTGTAATTAGAAACTTTATTTCAATTAATTAAATTGTATCCCTCATTTACATTTAATCCTGATGATGTGAATAAAATTAAAAAAACTTACCTTAAATGCATTATTTTCTGCATAAAATTTTGAAGTGCATATGCCTATATTTAAAGTACCTTTTAAAAAATTAACTTTTGAAGTTTTAAATAAAACCATGTATGTATATTTATTTGCAGATTGTTACAATTACTGTATATGGTAGCCCTACCTACACATACACATTGGATGGCCCAATCCTGACATCAACAGATGGTCAAACTACTGACAGTTACGATGCCTCTGCCCTCCCAGACAACACACCAACATCCATCAACAAAGGTATTTAAGTTTCTAGCTCATATATGCATTACATTTGTGTTAAGATTTATTCAACTTTGACTGCAGTATCTAATTTATATCAATTGAAAATGCAGTTTAAATACTGTTTTTTTTATAAAAAGAGTTTATTAACAATGTATTTCATGCTATGTTTAATAGGAAGTTTGATGATGAAGTATGATAAAGATTCAAAGGCTGTGTACCTTATGTTCAGTAATGGCATAAGTGTACGAACTGAAACTGATGGAACTTGCTCAATCACTCTTATGAAAAACTCACCACTCATTGCCAATATGGCTGGTGTCTGTGGTAATGCAAATGGCTATGTTGATGGTAAATAATTTTTCTTAATCTCTTTTAAACAATTTTTTTATCTCTATGCAATTTGTTTCATTTATTTTTATTCCAAGTCAAAAGCTGTGTTTTTTATGATAGAGAAGACACAGGATTGGTTAGTGCATTATTAAATGCTTTGAAATAGAGAAATTACATATAATGTGTATTCTCTATTCTCTAGATGAGTATGGTCTTCAAACACAAATGGGAGCTCAGCGTATATTTGATATTTACAAGAATACAGATCTACCAGTAAGTCACCTTAGTTAGTTTACATTTGTATTCATTTTTAAAACTGAAAAACTGTACTTATTTTATCATATATTATTGTAAACATTTTTCCAATGCAAATATATTTATGAAACTTTTGTTAATTTGTGATTGTGATGTATTTTAGTGTGGAAGAGGTCTCTCCAAGTGTCCAACACCTGAATTGACAACAAAGGCTGATCTTGCTTGTCAGCCATTGCTTCTCATTATGTACAGATACCATCCATTTGTGAGTATTAACAAATATATTTTTAAATATTATACTTGACATAACTATTAAAACTAATTAAAGAATCATGATCATTATGTAATATGTGATATCATTATGTTTGCAAAAAAAATCATAAAAAGATTCAATTGATGGCTCATGCAGGGGATGAAATCCATGTTTAAATTATTTATTTTTATTCATTTTGCAACACTATATAAAAGATTGTCAGTTATCAAGCAAACAATAAGAGGAGATAATTAGTGTAAAACAGTTTTTTTCTCAAAACAAAAACAGCATTTAAACAATTTTATCAATCAGTTGTTATAAAAACTTGTAAATAAACCACAAATAAATCTTGCCATTTGTGTTCTTTTTATTTAACAATCCTAGTCTGTCCATGTTGAGCTTATTTAATTTCATTTCTTCTTGAAACACCTATGAAATTTTTTTTTTAAATTATTTTAATATTTACCAGGTGCCTGTTGAAACCAGTATAGAAAATTGTCGTCAATCCTATTGTACTTCTTTTGCTGCTGGTGGAATTGAAGCTGCAACCAAAGCAGTTTGTAAAGCTCTCTCAGCTTACCACACATTGGGCACACTCGCTTCAGGGGAAGCTATTTCATGGAGATCCAAAAATCTTTGTCGTGAGTACTCATTTCTATCTATGATTCTCTTTATATTTACTATATATAAAATTTTATTAAGTAATCATATTTTACTATCTTCCACGGTGTAAAAGGAATTATGACTCCTGTTTCATTATGTATCAACCATGATTGTGACAATATGTTTTTAAGTTTTTATATTTGATTATTTTGGTTTTTATGTGTTACTTTTATTAATGGTTTTGTGTGTTCATTCTTTTAGCCAAGACCTGCAAACAACCTATGCAGTTTAATGGCCTCATCATTAACAAATGCCCACTTACCTGCGGAGCCTCACTCTACTCCTACACAAGAAGCACATGCCGTACTCAACCCTATGGGGGTTGCGAGTGTCCTGATGGCTTGGCCAAAATCAACAGCACTTGTGTTGCACCAGAGACTTGTCAGTGTAGGGGAGATGATGGTCGCTACTACAACAGTGGTGATGTCATTGAGTCCGGAGATCACTGCAAAACCTGGTAACATTTCGTTTATGATTAGCCACTTCAACTGTACATGGTGTTAGAGTGACATAAGTAATATTTGTTGAATAAAGTTTAATGGTGTATGATAAGGCTACACTAATTTTATGAAAACTCAACAACACTTCACCCCTCCATTCCCACTCTAAATGTATCAAACTTTGTGAATAACCCCTTAATTTTGATGTAACTTCAATAATAAAATCTCAGACAGTGGGCTTATTTTGTATCAAGCAAGTAGTGATGTTAAATTTTGGTAAATATTTGTGACAAATACATTTTTTCTTTACAGCAAATGTGGTTACCTTGGTCTATGGGATTGCACAGATAGTCCAGAAAAATGCTCATCAACTTGCATTGTTTTAAGAGGAAGCTATGTAAAGACATTTGATAACTACATGTATGGAATTCAAAACGCTTGCGGTGAAATGACTATTGCTTCAGTAAGTCTTCCATTTTATATATTCAGTAATCACTGCGATAAGTTAGCTTTATTCTCTTCTTTGATTGTTTAGTAATTCAATAACTATTTTAGAATTGATTGAAAATTAGAAGATTTCTGTTAATTTGTCGTTGTATATATATATATATATATATATATATATATATATAAGCTATAATTGTATTATATGTGTACATATATTCGCATATACTGTAGAGGTTTTCTGATTCAATTATTCTTTACATTTTTATTTTGTAGGGAGAAGGATTAAAGATTGTTTATGGTACACTTACAAGCACTCAGGATGAAAATGGTGAAACAATTACACCCTCTTATGTTTCAATTACTTACAAAAATATCACAAGTCGTTTGGACATTCACAAATCTGGTGCAGTAATGGAGAATGCATTTAGACCCAATGTTTACATCAGGTATTTTATGCTGCAATTATATCTTGTGGTGACATCTTGTTTATTATTTTAAAATTTATATTGCTTGAATCATTATATTTTGAAATTTTATATTGCTTGAATAGAATATTAGTTGTATATTATTTTTTTATCTGTTGAAAATGTTTGTTTATTAGGTGATCTTAAAGGCAGGCAAAAAAGCAAAAAAAAACTTTAAAATGAATCAAATGCTTCATTTAATTTTTTCAGACAAATTGCCAAAAATGCTTTTGCTTGTGATATTGATGGAGGCAAAATCCGTCTGCTGTCTTATCGAGATGGAAAATTGTACATCAAGCTGAAAATAAATATGTTTAGAGACAAAGTATGTACATTTAAACTAAGAGTTAACATTTAAAAGATCTATTACTAATTATTTTGAACACATGAATGTATTTTATTGAAAAGTTTTTAAACATTTACTCTGAAGAGAGTGTTTAGAATATTATAATACTGATTGATTATGCAGTTCCAATATCAAACTAACCATCTACGTCCAACAAATATTTTGTATTTTTAATACAATACATGAAGATTGTAGTTAAATTTGTTGTAAACTTTCTATGATGAATCTATAAATTGTCAATATTTGTTACACTGATGATGTTTTGAAAACTAATAACCCAAAAGAAACTATTCATTTTAACCAAAATAAGCAAATTTTAATTTGAGAAAGCAATAATTACTATCTTTTGTATTTCAGATAAGAGGTATCTGTGGTAACTTTGACAACAACAAAGACAATGATCTGATGTCCCCCTCTAATGCTATCATGGATGGACAGGCATTCGTTGAGATGTACACCACATGCAAGGAGGCTGTTTTTGCTGAAGTGACACAATCAACTCAGGTATTGTTTTTCATGTACATTTTGTTCAAGAATTGCAAACTTAGTATAATTAATTATTTAATTAGACATATTAATCTATTCAACTCAAAATGTTTAATTTATTTTTGCCTTAGGATCCCCGCTGTGCAGCTATCAATGATGTTCAGAAACCATCCAACGCCAATGTGAATAGTGACATGGCTGTCATGTTTTGTAACAATGCCCCAGATGATGCTACACGATGCCAAACACTGCAGGCTTTTTGTTATCAAGCTAATGTTAACTTCCAAGAAGTCTTCAGTAGTATTTCTGGAGCATGCTGTAAGTATTAATTAAACAGTCTTCATTAGTAGTGTTAGAGCATGCTAGAGCTCTAACAATTAAACCAACCTGTAGGTTATGTACAGACTTTACCACATAACCCTTTACAGAAGCATTTTATACTTTGCACTGTGATATGGATTTCTTTTCAGTTTGTATCCAACTCGTTTAAAACTAAATAATTAACATTTTTGATTTGTTTCTGAGATACGCTAATCATGAATGGTTCTTAAATCTTTTCTATAACAGCACAATTGTTTGAAAGCTTAAGTAAAAGTTCAGCTGGGTGAATTACTTTCCCACTAATTTATTTAAAACATCTTTTAGGTGTAGGCCTGGGATATTTTTATTTTATTAACCTTTCTCGCAATAACAGATTATGTGAAATATTTTGTTTTTCTGACCAGCTGATACCACATGCCAAAGAACAAAAGTGGATGTCTGTACTGCCAGTTGCTATGGAAGCATGTTCCGAGACTGTGAGCCAGAAACCATTTACACTTGTGGCTGTGCTGAAGGCTTATTTATGAATGACAAAGGAGTCTGTGTAACCAAAGCTGAATGTGGTTGCAAAGACTTCACAGCTCCAGACAAACTCTATGCTCAAGATGACAAATTCATGAGTGGATGTAGAAAATGGTATGTCTATTACTTTTTACATCAACTCATTTTGCTATATTTTGTTGCTATATTCAGCTTTATTGTACTGATAAACAAAACTTTAAAGCCATTTGAGAAAGTCTCATTCAAATGTGGTGTGCTAAGTATTCTAAAAATGAATTGTAATTATTATATACATGGGACAGAGTGGTCGGACTGTAGAGACTGCTAACTTGAAAGTCATAACTTTGAGCCCCAGGCTTGAGTCTGAAGGGCATCCTTGAATCCATCCATTAGGGAAATTATGCTGGCTGAACATAGTGTTGACTACACTATCCCCCTTGTTTGCCAATGTAATTGAAACAGATGAACTCTATCTGCCACATGTGTCATTGGTATGAACTGGGGAAAATAAGTGAGAGTAATTGTATATAGCTTATTGCTTGCACTAATTTGTTCTGTCAATTTTCTATAACAGTACCTGCTTGAACAGCACACTGTCATGTGACCAAAACTGTGAAGAAGTGATCTGTGCTAAATTACACATCTCTAAAAAAGATTTACTTGACAAGAACCCAGACCCCACATGTGCCAGACAGATCTGTCCCAAACCATACTACACAGAAAAAGGCTGTATCAATGTTGCAACTAGTTCACAGTCATGCTTCTGTGGAGATGGAGATGTTCAAACTCAAGTAATTTTATTGTAGTTTTAAAATTATAAACATTTTAAAAACAGACTATGAATATAAAATAAATTACTATTTACAAATGTGCTATTAATATTAAAAAAATATAGGGTTTAGCTAATTTATTATTATTATTTTTTTTACTAATTTAGACTGGACTCTGTGTCAAACATTGCCCTTGCTACAACAAAGGCACATACTACCCTCATGGTGCAAGCATTGTTACCAACTGCATTACACAGTAAGTACACATTTGTAAAACTCAGTGAATACTGCTGAGAAAAAACATTTGTTAAACATTTTCAGCTTATCCTATTTATAAAAGAATTAATTTATACAGACATCTATTGATTTTTAAAAAAAAATTATGGTTTTGGTTTTTTATTAAGAACTATTTTTCAAAGATTGTGAATTGTGATTATTCATAATTTATTGTGAAAGAAGACAATTTAAAAGAACTTTACATTAGCATTTAATCCTATATGTGCAGAATTGCTCTACTTGTTGTACCTTTTTTTAGATCTGGTTAGCTTAATTTTAACTGAAGCTCTCAAGCCAGATTTATTTTTGGGTATGTAAAAGTACAATTATTCAGTTTGTTATATATTGAAAATTTCGACTTTTTACTACAGAATTTGTAATGATGGTGTCTTAGAAACACAGGAAGGACGAACATCAACTTGCTCAGGTGAAAATTATTTTTCAGTTAGCTTGGTGAAGTTTTTTTTTATATATACTTCCTTAAATTTTGTTCCTATAAAGTGCTTAAAAAGAATATTTATATTTTTAATTGAAAGTAAGATCTTAGAATAACACTGAAGTATTTTATTTTAATAACAGGCACTTGCACAGTCTCTGGAGCATCCATGAAGCTAAAATCTTTTGACACCTCAACTCTCAGTGATTTCTCATTTGATTCTAAGTGTGAGATTATAATGTTTAAGACTGATGAAGACACTATAAAAATTAAACCAACAGAGTGCGGCTCATCACGTATGTATTTTTAATGTACTTTAGTCTTTATAAATTTAATGCCAACAGAATTTTGTCAATGTTGTTTATTGTGTTGCAGATTAATATAATATGTTACTATTCAATTTATTATATTTGACAGAACAAACTTGCTTGTACCAAGTGACATGGGAAACTTCATATATCAATGCACCAATCACCCTAAGATCTACTGAACCCAGCTCTGTTATGGTGGGAAACAAAGTATATCAAAACAATGTGGGAAACTTTATACATATCTTTGACAATGGCATTATCTTGACAATTACAACTCCAAATATGGCTTTAATATGGGATAAAGGTTCGCATTAGTTTCTTATTTTAAAATTTGTATTAAAAATATATATAATAAATATTTTTATATCATAAAATTGAAGTTAGTTTTCAGGCATGATTAATTTTATAAAATATGTTTAAACATTCATTGTAATTATCTGTCCGTTTATTTTACAGTATTGAATACAAATATTTGAGCACAGTTATTGTATTAGCTAACCAAACTCAGAAGGCATATACCTAAACAAAAACAGTCAGCTATAATCTTATGTAAACAGTCTATCAAATTTAATAGTTTAAATTTAACATAGTTTTTTTTTTTTTTAAATATATTTATTTATTACAGGAACATCACTGAGCATTGAAGTTGGGGGCAACTATTACAATAAAACAAAAGGGTTGTGTGGTAATTTCAACATGGATGCTCATGATGATAGCATTGGTAGTGACAATCTACCAAAAGACACATTGAGCAAACTTGCAAAGAGCTGGATAGCTAATCCAGATGAATGTACTATGACAGAAGATCAGACAGTTGTAACTTGTGAGGTGAGGAAATAATTTATTAAAACATACTTCTATGTTATCGATTTTTATAAAAATAAATTTAATTATTGATCAGATAATTGATGGTGGACTGGTTGTGTCCTAGAGGCCCGGGAAATTTTAAAAAGGATCTCCAACCCCAGATTGGAGTTTTCATTGTGCTTTTTTTCATCAAATCCTGAATTTTAGCCATGGTAGATTTATAAAGGAATGGACAAAAAAAATCAGAACCATCCTGCAGGCCCACCTGGTTTTTGCCTGCAGGTAGACAGGCAGGCCAGTCCAACCCTGGTTAACAAATCTTTTCCTTTTTAGTAACCTAAACATGCATTCCTTTTAATTAAAACTTCTTATAATGGATTGACGATAGAAGCATGTGGTTGTATATAAAACGTTTATTGGCCTTCATCTACATGATGGTAAAGAGAGAGGACGGAAGTGACGAGAGACAATTATTTATATACATGTAAGGGACATCACTCAAGATAACAGTATAAATATAATACTAATACAAGAAGAGTGAGTTCCCTTGACTTCACAAGTCTCACTATATTACATCCCTTTACCCTTAGTAAACACAACACATCTCTCAATAGAACAATTTACAGTATCCTAAAATCACCAATTATATTGTAACATGAACACTATGGTAGATTGCATCCTTACAAACAATGCACAATATGTTACAACATAATTAAAATACAAAACAATGATGTCAAAGTCCTTTTGACCTTTAAAATCATAGGTCTAACTTATTTGGGACTTTGATTGTCCTGCTTGACCTTCTCAGTGGCTTTTGATTTGGTGACTCAAGATTCTGACCATCTGGATTCTCTATCTCAGGAGGTCTAGGATCAAAATCATTAATTCCAGAATTTACATTTTCTGACTCCAGACTACTTGGTTCACTCATATCAACAGAACTTGGTTGTGGAACAAACTGAGTTGGTGTGAACTGTTCAGATTTGGTGGGATTGACAGATTCACACTTATTATCTGCACAAGTTATTTTTACTTTATAAGACACAGGTCCTGTACATTGAACAATTTGACCTGGTATCCATTTTTCCCTTCTCCCATAATTTCTCAGATACACATTGTCATTAACTCCAAAATCTCTTTCAATGCATGTTTTGTCATGATTTAATGGAACTATTTTTGAATTGGCATCTGGAAGTATTATGCTGTTATTCAGATCCTTGACTGACATAGATTTCTTTGATTGATCAATTTTCTCAGGTAATCTGATAGTGCTTTTTAGTAACCAAAAATACTGTTTAAAAGTAATATCCTGGACAATATCACTTTGCAACTGTGATCCAGTATTTGAAGTGGGTGTATTAAATGGCAAAAATCTTTTTTTTTTCCTTTTGATGTTACCCTTTTAGTTTCTGTAAGTGCTAATAATGTTAGCAAAGTTGTTTGATGATCACATTCCTTCTTACTAATGTATTCTCTTTAAAAGCATTTGAAATTGCCATATCACCATAATCATTTATTAAGTTATAAATACTTTGTTTAGGTAACTCTGACTGATAATGGACTGCATCTTCTCCATCTTTTAGACTTAATTCTATTTTTCTTATTTTATATGGCCTTAAGTCATCATTCACAGACTCTTCAGGCCAACCATTCTTACAGTACTCATATGCTTTTATTAAGCACTCATCTTTTTGTGTTTCTCTTTTAATATCATTCACATTTATATTGGAGTTATCCATGATAGTGAAGAGAACAAATACATCTTCTGGTACATAGCTAAGGCTTTGGTTTTTTAAAGGTAATCTACTAAGACTATCTGCACTATTCTCAGATCCAGGTTTGTATTTCAATTCATAATTGTATGCAGTTAGTGTGATAGCCCATCTTTGAATTCTTGGTGAGGCATGCTCAGGTAAGGGTTTGTTTTCTCGAAATAAACCTAGCAATGGTTTATGATCTGTAAAGATGGTGAACTTCCTACCAAACAGAAACTTATGAAATTTCTTAACACCAAAATGATGCCTAAGCCTTCCCTATCTAACTGAGAATAATTTTTCTCAGCCTGGTTCAAAGATCTACTGGCAAAAGCAATGGGTCTGTCACCCTTTTCATCTATGTGGGATAAGACTGCTCCTACACCATCTGGTGAAGCATCACATGTTAATATAAGTCTTTTCCCTGGGTCATAGTGAGTTAGTAAGGTGTCAGAAGACAAAGCTTCTTTTGCTGTATTAAAAGCAGCTTCTTGTTGTTTACCCCAGTGCCAAGTTGCATTTTTCTGCAGCAGCTTGTACAGTGGTGATAGTTTACCAGACAGATTCCCTATGAACTAGGCATAGTAATTTATCAAGCCCAAAAAAGCTCTTAGTTGTTGGGTATTTTCAGGTTTGGGTGCTTCTTTAATGGCTTTTGTTTTCTCAGGTTGAGGTCTGATACCTTGCTTGCTTAATATATAACCAAGAAAACTAATTTCTGTCAGCATGAATTGACATTTATCTTTGTTTATCTTTAAACCTTTTTCACCAACTATTTTCAAGACTTTACGTAGTGTTTTAAGATGTTCAGTGTCATTCTTACCAGTTATGTACACATTGTCAAAGTAAACACAAACATTTGGAATATCCCTAAAAATACTGTCCATGACAGCTTGGAAAATTCCAGGGCTAGATGATATGCCAAAACATAGTCTTTCATATTGGTAGAGTCCTTTATGTGTGTTTATTGTCGTATAGACTTTTGAATCTGGATGCAGTTCTAGTTGAGTGTAAGCATGACTAAAGTCTAATTCAGTGAATTTGTCTCCTCCTGCCAAATTCAAAGAAATTTCCTCAATGTTAGGAATAGGGTACCTATTTAGCTCTATTTGCTTATTCAGTGTAGCTTTATAGTCTCCACAAATTCTTATAGAACCATCCTTCTTTAACACTGGCACAATGGGCGTTGCCCAATCGGAATAGTCTACCTTCTTTATGATGCCATTAGATTCCAATCTACTTAGCTCATTTTCAATTTTATCCCTCATTGCATAAGGTGGAACTCTAGCTTTGCAGTATCTTGGATTTGTGTCTTTAATGCTTAACTTCACTGTTCTATCATTTAGTAATCCAGAATTACCAAAAACACATTTATTTTCAGATATAACTTTATCTATTGAAGTAAGACTAGATTCTCTTGCATTGTTCAATGAACATATACTCTCCCAATTTAACTTAAGATCAACTAACCAGTTCCTACCTAGTAATGGTGGTCCATTTCCTTCAACCACAAGAAGAGGAAGTTTAACACTTTGACCATTATAACTTACATGAACCATACACTCTCCTATTACCGGAACATTGTCACCAGTGTATGTTGTTAGACACTTGTGACATGGTTGTAGAGGCACTGATTTTCCTGTGACAGCATCAAAGTCCTTCTTTGTGATGACTGTTAGAGATGCTCCAGTGTCAAGTTGGAAGCTGATGCTCTTACCGTTGATATTAACTAGTACATTGATGGGAGCATGACTTATTGATTTCACAGAGAACAGGCTGAAATCCGGCTGCGAATCAGTTTGAGCATTTTCACAGGTAGAGTGGTTCATTGGTTGGGTTAGGTAGTCTTGGTGAGAGTTAACATAGTGCTGCCTTTGGTTGCGGTACTGTCTTGACTGGCTAGATTTAGCAACAGACGAAGACTTTGCAAAGCAGGCCTTAGCAATGTGACCTTGCCTACTGCACTTATAACAAGTTGCTGACTTGAACTTGCATTGATGAGATGCATGGGGACCTTTGCATCGATGACATTTTTGATAATTATTACTAGATTTAGATCTAGGCTTTGAACGTGCAGGATGTTTAGCATAAGTTGAAATGCTCTGATGGAGTTGGTGTTTGTTGACTAACCTGCTGTTTACTGCATGGATCTCTGAAGGCGTTAGAGATTTTGCCGCATCTGATGACTGCTGGAATGAAGTTGCTAGTTGAATTGCTTTTTCTAATGTTAGATCTGACTCGAGCAGCAACTTTCTTTGAACATCAGGACTGTTTACACCTGTCACAAACTTTTCACATAGTCTGTCAGACAGCGTGTCTCCGAATTCACAAAATTCACTTAAATTACGTAAAGCAGCAACATATTCTGATATTGACTCGTTTGGTCGACGAGTCCTACCGTCAAATCTAGCTCGACATAGAAACTTTGATGGGGTAGGCGCATGGTGGTCTGTTAGCAATTTGCTCAGCTCGTTAAAGCTCTTGGTAGTTAGACTAGCTGGTGCGCATAAGTCCTTTAGTAGCCTAAATTGTTGAGGCCCTATGACTGTTAACAAAACAGCTCTCTTTTTGGCTTCTATCGTCACGTCGTTAGCTTCAAGGTAAAAGCTTAACCTATCTAGATAATCATGAATGGTTTCATCATTCGAATCAAATTCTTTTATTTGGCCATACAGCGCCATTATTCTAGAAATACTTAGCCAATATGCCATATGCTCTAGCAAACCTCTTTTTGAGTAAGTAGGTGCTCTTTCTAGTGGATCATTTATCCTTGTCGCCAGATATAATGGATTGACGATAGAAGCATGTGGTTGTATATAAAACGTTTATTGGCCTTCATCTACATGATGGTAAAGAGAGAGGACGGAAGTGACGAGAGACAATTATTTATATACATGTAAGGGACATCACTCAAGATAACAGTATAAATATAATACTAATACAAGAAGAGTGAGTTCCCTTGACTTCACAAGTCTCACTATATTACACTTCTAATGCCTAATACCTCATTTAAAATTGTCAATGATTTTCTATCAAACTTTAACTGTGAACTAGTCTATTTCACTGCCTGAAACATACTTGTTGTATGGGGTGAGGACAGAATTACAACACTAAAACAAGGCAGACAACTAAAAATATATTCAATTATATAATGAAGATGAAAAATGACCACTTGACTTAGTTAACACTATCAGACAGAATGAAGAAAAAAACAAAAGACCATAAGTTATACATCAAGACATCAAATGTTTATCTAGACAAAAATCTGAGGTTTGACTGCAAGGCTTATAGATGTGTATCTGGTTTGTATATAAAATTGTACATTGTTTATCTCCAAATTTGTTTTCATCTATTAGGGATCACCTCGTGAAGCATGGGCACGTAAAGCCTGTCTGATCATTTTGGAAGGTGAAGCTTTTGCTCAGTGTAGAAAACAAGGGGGAGCACTCAGCTTTTATCAAAACTGTTTGGTGCAATCCTGCGCGTATGTATAATCACTACTAACGCCTATAAAAATTGCTTATTTTCTATATTTTCTTTTCCACAATAAATGAAACTGTATTCAAACCATTTCAAGTTCATTAAAAATTCTTTCTCTTATATACTTTTTCTTAATGGAACTACTTTTAGCATTGTCTTCTTTCTATACAATGGCCAGCTGTGGATTTCAGACACCATCCTACTTTACAGTATCATTATAAAGACACACGTCTAATACTTGCATACTTCATGAATTCATTATTCTTGCAGTGGCTGGGATTTTAAGCCTTTGTATGGCAACTCATAATGCTTAGGGGGCTATTCAATAAAAATATATTCAACAATTTATTAAAAATTTCATTTTCATTTCTTTAGCTGTGATTTGGGTGGTGATTGTGAATGCTACTGCGAGGCTGTAGCTGAGTATGCAGCATTCTGTAACAGAATCAATGCACCAGCTCGTTGGAGAAACCAAAAGAATTGCCGTATGTTACACAACTTTGTCCCATTTTAAAGCTGCTAATTTTATAATTTAATAGTAAAGCGTACAAACTTTTATCAAAATAAAACGTATGAAGCATTTATTTTAAATACTTTAATTTTACAGCAATACAGTGTGAAGGTGGAACTCAGTACGATGCTTGTGGTAGCACATGCCCTGAGACATGTCAAAAACCAAGTAACACAACAGAGAGCATCTGTGAAGCTCTCAACTGTCAAGAAGGTTGCTACTGTCCTCCAGGCTATGTACGATCAAGTCAGTAAAACTTAATAATATCATAGAGTTCTATTGTTGTTCTCTTTCTGTATCACAGAGTGAACATTATTTAATTTTATTTTGTAGCTTTACATATTTTTTTGGGGATTATTCATCCTTTTTTTACATTTAACATTATTTTAAACTATCTTATGATGTTTAAAATAAATTTAAGCTGATCAAATAAAACTAAGAATTATCTTTGAACATGAGAAAAACTAAAGGTAACAGTATGGGAAAAAAATAATTTTTTTTTACACAGATCCAGATGACTTGGAATCATCCACTTGTATTAAAAAAACTGAGTGTCCATGTGTTGATGAAAAAGGCAGAACAATTCCACAAGGGGAGTCTGTAAAACTCTACTGCCAAGATTGGTAAGATAACATCCAAGGCTTTAGAGATTCCAATCAAATAGGGCTATAACTTTGTTTCTAACCATGCTAGTATTGATATACTGCCTACACTTATTTTTTTGTTTTAAAACAATAAAATTTAGAAACACAATTCTATTGTACAGCTTTCTTTTCAATAATTAGTACAAATAAAAAAATACAAAAAATGCTTACCATTTCTGTGATTATTTAACAGTAACTGCAAAGATGGAGAACTCATATGCACTGGAGATCCATGCAAAGATGAATGTAGTGATAATGAATTCAGGTGCAATGACGGTCATTGTTTCAATAAATTGCTCAAATGCAATGGAAAACCTGATTGTAGAGATGGTGCTGATGAATTTGGCTGTGAAGGTATGGCTTAGAAAATTGTTTACATTTTGTTTTAAATTAATAAATTATTATAGAGGTTTGTAACCATTAGAAGACGCAAGCATTTTTTGTAAAATAAAAAATGACAGATGTAAATAGTTTCAACTAATTTAGAATACATATTTTTACTTAGGTTCATAATTAACTTTGAATATAACATTGTATAATTTTATAATATAACATACAAGCGATCTTTACTTTACTCAGGAGAAAAATGCCAAGGATTTCCTTGCAAAAATGGACAATGTGTGGGAAATAATACACTTTGCAATGGAATCTCAGATTGCATGGATTCATCTGATGAAACTGACTGTGGTAAGAATTTACTTTATGGTATATTGCTTTATTCAATTTTATGGAAATAATTAAAGTGAGAGAACAAAAAGCATTTTAAAAACTAAGTTTAATATAGAATTTGTACACTTATACACTGTTATCCTTTGAATGAAAGGGCATATTATAATAAAGTTTACTTTCTTTTCAAGTTAATATTATTGTATTATAAATTTTTTTCTTATTAAATTTTTGTTTTACTGTGTTTTTTTAGATATATCATCTTTCACTTTCAAAATGAAGATCTACATTAATGTTTATATATTTTTGTAGACATTGTTTGTGATGAGGGAAAATTCAAATGTAATCAGAGCAACTATTGCATTGACAAGGACTCTGTTTGTGATTCATATTTTGACTGCTGGTATGGTGAAGATGAAAAGGATTGTCAAAGTAAGACATTTATAGCTTATTATCTGCAAAATGCTTAATGAATATTTTTTTTAAACTTTCAATTAATTAAAATACATTATTATGAAGTTATCCCTATTTGCAATATTTTTTTCTGCAGTCTGTCCACACAATGAAACACATTGTAACCAAACCTACTGCATACCTAAAGACTACCACTGTGATGGTCATGATGACTGTGGTGATGGATCTGATGAAATGGGTTGCAGTAAGTTGCACTTAACCTTTAGTCAAAGTAGATGTATCAAAAGTTATTTTGATCTTAAATTGTACATATTTTTTTAAAAATGTGTTTAGATAAATATTTACTTGTAACAATTATAAATGAAAATATAAAGTTTCATTTTAAAATTTTTAACTTTCTTTTCAGCAACTCCATTCACGACAACAGAAACTGAAAGTAAAATATAACTTTTGTTTTTTTATCTGTATAATGTAAAGATACTTTTAAAAGTATTTACTTCTTTATTTATTTCTATATCTATGTAGGCCTATATTTTCACCTCTTTATGCATTAATTTTCTTACATTTTAACACTTAGGCTTAATTTAGATCAGCAGCACCTAAGAATGCAAGTAATTGTAAGAAATGTTAAGACAATGAGACTGACATTTTAAAATGCCAAGATATATTTCTTTATTGCTGTTTGTAAAATAAAGGCTGGTGGGTTTTTTCTGGGAGTTGATTAATTTTATGCTTGAATAAATTAAAAAAACTACACCACTATTTTTAAACTTCTGCTTGAATAAATCTCACCTTATACTTCTGTATATTATGTAAAGTCTTAAACCTTCAAGTACAAAATTATTTATTTGTTTTTTTTTATGGTTTTCAATTTCAATGTGCATTCTTTTCACTAGAATGCCAGCATACATTGAAGAGATTTACCCAGCCATCAGAAGATCTTAAGATAAAGACAGTGCCAGAAGATGGTTTTGCTCCTAACATTTTTAGTCCAACTGGTTGGAAACCGCAAAATGTTGTTGATTTGGTTATTGAAATACAAAGTGGAGTGACCCCAGTCCTCTATGAAATAGGCTTTAAAGTTCTAGATGGTGTTGGTAAAAATTTGACTGTGAGAATAACCAACATTGCTGGCAATTCAATCATTGAAGTAAGTTCATTTATGTTTATCCTTTGGCATGCTCAGTCAATATATTTGATACATTAAATGTTCTGGGTATTCTTGATTTGTATTTGGTTTTAGCCATAAGTGTATGTGTACATTATAACTCAATTTACTAAAATGCACTAACTTTTTATTTTTCAATGTCACACACTTTTTTTTTTTTTTGGTTTTTTTTTTTTGCAGAACCGTCTAATAACACAAAGTCCAATGGACTTCAATGGGGTGTATAAGGCTGAGGCTAATATAATAACAATAACAACACAAGCTACAATCGCATCAACCTACATAGATGTTTGCATGGAGTCAATTGGTAAAAAAAATTCTTTATTATTCCTTTTTTAAAAATGTATTTCAACCTAAATTAAAAAGAAGTGTATCAATTTTTCTTCAAGATTTTTCTATATCCCAACATGTTAGCTTAATCATTGTTTTTAAAAAGATAACTCACCAAGCTTTATGTTTTTTTAGTGCCTTCATCAACCCCATATTCTTCAACTCCAACCACCCCACAAGGTAAATAATTGAAACAATTTATAGTGCTATAAATAGATTGTTAGGACAATACATGTGTGAATACTTTGTATAGATTATTTACTTATTAAAAAAATTTCAAAATAGAAACCACCAATTTAATTTAATTTAATTTACAAGTAAATTTGCTAAAATTAGAATGCTATAAAAAGCCTTTTTCACTTTCATTTTTTTTACAGAGTGTGCAAAAGATTTCACAACTTTGACCTCCTCATATTTTGGACCCATCTCCAGTAGCTCCAATGTTTTTAAGCCATCTGACAGCAACAATTTAGAAATTCAAGTTTCATTTGGGACAAAACCAAATGTTGAACAAATAAGTGTTCAAAGTATAGAGTTCAGTTTAACTGGGAATTATGAATCTTTCTCAGTTGCTATCAAATACAAAGATGGAAGTTTAGTTACTAGTCAGGTACTATTGTTAAGTCTTCATGGAATTACATCAAGCCACTGATGTCTTATTTATTTTTTATTTCAACCCTTTTTTTTCTAGTGTAGCTTAGAAATTATTACTTCATTCAGCTGACAAAATACATCTTTAAAAAAATGTCAAACATTCCCATTTTATTTTTATAGGTTGATGCACCAAGCTCAGATGTGACTTTCAGACCTGTTAATCCCAACAACATTCAAGATATAAAATTCACCTTTGAACTCACTCAAGCTACTCCAGGAGCTGAAGTTATTTATAAGGGAGCAGAGGGCTGTGTTAAAGGTTTGATTATTTGCTGATCTTAAAATCTAGTTTAACCAAGTTCCCGGGGAGGAGGCTCAAGACATTGGTCTATCTCTTAGAAATTTTTTAAAACTTAACTAATTCCTTGTATTTTGTCTAAGAATTATTACCTCTTGATTCAAGTCAACTAAATATAACTATTTTGTGTCTAAGGTTAATAATTGTTTTTGTGTAAACATTAAAGATAGAGCATTCTATTGCTAACCCAATAGAATAGATTAACCTATGTTCTGAATGAGTCTTCATGCTATGTACCTGACAATGTAAGTATAAAGAGCAGATAGCATATGTAATAGCTGTGGTTCTTTTGTCATCACAACAGAAAAAAAAAATCATGACGTGTTTGTTTAAAATTAGTTACTAGTTTACACATGTCTACAAATTATTTTTCAGTGGGAAACTGTTCACAAGGCTATTGCAATGGTCAATGTTTAGACAACTATTTGAACCTTTGTGAATCTCCATGTCCACCAAGTGAATGCTGTAAGTGAATGATAAAATATAAAGTCTAAATTATTGATTTGTTACAGATTTACATTTAGCATGTTTACCATCATGTTAAAAGTTTGTAAAACTTGAGCTAGCCACAGTGAGATTTACTTGTATTAAATTCCTTAGTGTCCCTAACAACTTATGTGTCAATGTGTGCTGATTAAATGCCAGTGCTAACTGGTATGTTGTTTTGTTAAAGAAATAGATGTTGGATGGTCACCTCTAGCATATACATCCTGATCATATTCTCCCTTTTTAGTACCATTTGGCATTATTTACCAGTTGAAAAAAAGCTCTCTACAATTGTTAAAACTTAACTGTTTATTTTAAAGAACAATATTCAATAACATTTTCAAATCCACATTATCCTGTACCATTTTTGTAGAAAACACTAAAATATTTTAGCAAAAACTTAAATTGTAACTTCACATTACTTACAATAAATCTTAAATGAACTAAAAGGCATTTTTGATATTAAAACTAAATTTAATTTGAGTTTTAAAAAACCACAATAGAGATTTTAAGTTTTACCTTATGATCCTGAATCTTTTTTTTTTTATTTTCTTTGATTATTTGTTTTCCTTTTGTAAAAAATGCATTGTCAGTAAATATTCTCTTCAGTCACAACACCTAACAGAACAACTGAAACAATTATTACACCTACACCTGAGTCACATAGCACACCTGGACCAACAAGCACACCAGGATCACCAAGCACACCAGGATCACCAAGCACACCAGGATCACCAAGCACACCAGGATCACCAAGCACACCAGGATCATCAAGCACACCAAGATACCCTAGCACTACTCCTTGCGCTGAAGTAATAATTCCACAGGATAAACTTGTGACAGTTACACCAGTTTTTGACAATTCTCTAGCTATTTCCAAACAACAGCTTGTTATTCTGAAAGCTGAAAATGAATCATCACTGCTTGATGTAAATCCTAATGGGCCAAATGCACAAGAAACTGTCATTTCCATCCCATATACCCAGGTAATTAACCATTTCTTTATACACATCCAGGGTTTCTTTCAGGTCAATGGTAACCATGCCCCGGGGGAGGATAGCACTGCCCCACCCCCTCCTCCTGATAGAGATGCTTGAAATAATTTCAGACACAATCCATTTTATTACTTTAAGAAACGCTGAGCACAGTTATTTACCAATTTGAAAATTAAATTAAATGACACAAATTTAGCTAATAATTCCTAATTGTTATCAATATAATACACAGTAATAAAGAGACATTTATTGTATAGTAGTAATGTTTGTATATTCAATTACTTTAAATTATAAATATGTTCATTAAAATCAGCATAATGGTATTGCTTTAATATTTTTTTAAATTTTGGCATTATACTCATGTCTTAAATTATATACATTTTTTTCAGTCTAAGGAATTTATAAATTCAACCGGACGTTATGCAACTGTTATCTATAAAAATGGTAAGGCTATTTTTATTCACTTTCTGTGTTAATTCTTACCTTTTATATTTTTAAAAACTAAAGTGCTAAATATTATTTATTGTATATTTGTAGATTTAATTTTCCCTGATTTTAATTCTAATAATAGTTGCACTGTTCTTAGTCACTATTTTGAATTATAAAACCATTTTAGTTAATAATATTACTTTATTCTTTAGATCAAGACTATGAAGCAAAATTAGAGACTTTCATTGGTAAGATAAGCGTTTCTATTAAATTTGAAACATTTATTTAAAAAAAAATATTTAAAAACTATTTTATATTAAATTAGGCTATAGGCTTCATTTTCTCTATTATTTACTTAATATGGCTGTCTATCCAGCTCTCTAACTGACTTATCTTGACTATTTATCAGAGAATAATTTGGGGAAAGGGTGCTTGCCCTATGTATGTTTTAAGATATTTAACAAATTGGCTCCAGCTTAAATGTTTAGGAAAATTGTTGTCAGTGCATAAGCTGTATACCACAAAACAACAAATTGTATCAATTATTTGGTTGGCCTTAATATGCACAAGCTAGTTGCCTATGATGTTTGCTTTCTAAAGCAGTTACCTTATGGGTGGGTCATAGACTATTTAGTTTCTTCTGTCAAGGGTGGGGGGAAGGGATGAATACATATAAGAAAAGAAGCTCTACATACAGAAATTGCTGGAATTTTAATTATTTGTCTCTATAGACACTAAAAAATAGTATATGTGAGTGTTTGTGTGGATGTATTTTTAAGCAGATACATTTAATACATTAAATTCATTTATTCATGAATAAAAATGTTTATAACTTTTAAAATTAACTATACTTGTATATATATATATATATATATATATATATATATATATATATATATATATATATATATATATATATATATATATATATATATATATAATTTGTTTGTGTTATATTTGTATTCATCATAGTAATATTTAATAATGGATAATTTTTACTTCATTGTGGAGCATTATCACAAATAATCAGTCCAAAAAAAACATCAATCATGTTTATTGTTCAAATTATTTTAATCATGAGAAAAATCCTTTATAACCATTTAAATTATGTTTAGACTTGACAGACGGTGTTCCATACCAATATGAAGATTCTACTATTGTGAGTTTTGTGGTAAACCCAGATGAAGGCGTACAGCTTCCTCCCAATACAAGGACGTACAATTTAGTTGTGAGTTTTTTATTAGTAAATATATAAATAAATAATTTACACACATATTTTATGTATTTGTATTTTTTAATCTAAAAATGAATACATATATTTATGGAATCAATCACTCTTAATTTATTAATTTTTATACATATGCCCATATAGAAAATAACATTGTGTTTTTGATGATTAATATTTTAAAACAATTTCAGAATGTAAATAGTGTTGTTATCAGCACACTGAATGAATTTGTGTTTGCCTTTACAAATACGGATACACCAGTTCAAGTTGTTAAATGTACAGGTATGCTTGTTTAAAAAATAATCTACAGTATTTAAAAATTTACAGTCAAGATAAAATAAATTATCTAATGTCTCTTGGGGTCTTATGGCAACTTAATTTATAAATTTAAACTTATTATATACATATGAATACTTACAAAAAAGCTAAGCTGTTATTTTTCTTGTTTTATAATGTAATGGAAAACTATTTCATTCAACTAGGTTATGTTTATTTTTGATGACATAACTCAGTATTATTGAAAAGCATGCTATGTCAAACAATGGTCTTATGTGGGGAAATAATTGTTTTTAAAAGTTTAAAGAAATGTTGGATTTGAAGATTTAATTTAACATCTAACCTCGAAAAATAATCATTTTAAAAAGGTTTAAAAAGTTTTATAATCGAATAGAAATCATTTCATAACTAATTAATATACTATCTCATAAATTGCCCTTATTTGCTAATTTTAAAAAATCTAACCCAATCTGGAACTTTAAATACAAATTTCTTTACCAAACTGTTATTTTATTTATAAATTATACGTTTCTTTATTTATTTCCCTGACTTTATTACACATACTAAAAGAAGCTTTGATTGAAATGTGAAATAAAATTATTTTAAAAAGTTTAAAGTAATACTAACTTAAGTCATGAAACTTCTTTGGTAACAATTATACATCTAGAAAATGCTGAACATAAAAATTTGTTAAACTTTGATTTAAAATGACCTAAATTGTCACAAAAATATAGAATTTAAAAATTTTAAATTTAAAAATTAGGATAGTACATTTTTAAAATTAACAATTTAAAACAAATAAACCAGGAGTGATCTCCCCTAAACTTTCTCGAATATTCTAATATAACACTACGGGGGATGGCAACTCGGGTCATAGACAATATATTACAACATGTAATTTAATAAATGTACAAGATGAAACAAGTTTAGCTTCAAATAAGGGGTGACAAGACCAAATCTTAATTAACAACACCTATTTGACTACAGGACATGTATAGTTTAGGTAGCATCTAATAAATATCTAAATATGTTAAAGATAAAAATAAAACACCTAATCTTAAAAAAACAAATAACATACTGATTTAATGAAAACATTCAGCAATTGGTTCGTCTAAATGTAATTTACTTATGGCTTATGTTTTGCAATACTTAATATCAATCTAAACATCAAGGAGATCTACATTTGCAAAATAAAAGAATTCAGTTATCAGCTATGAATTCCTAGTTTCCAATTTCTTTATAAAATACTTCTTACACTTCAAGACTAAAAGTCATAACAATTTTATAAGAAACAAAATACACTTTAAAAAAATTAAGGGAATACTAAATATTAAGTAAAACAACTATAATCCAAAATTTAAAATTAAGCTTTGATCATTCACACTAAAAACAAATTCCTTTTTAAAACTCAGAACCCACAAGCACACCAGGATCACCAAGCACACCAAGATCACCAAGTACAACTGGATCACCAAGCACACCTGGATCACCAAGCACAACTGGATCACCAAGCACACCAGGATCACCAAGCACACCTCAAACACCAAGTACACCTAGATCACCAAGCACACCAGGATCACCAAGCACACCAGGATCACCAAGCACACCTGGATCACCAAGCACACCTGGATCACCAAGCACACCTGGATCACCTAGCACAACTGGATCACCAAGCACACCAGGATCACCAAGCACACCTCAAACACCAAGTACACCTAGATCACCAAGCACACCAGGATCACCAAGCACACCAGGATCGCCAAGCACACCTGGATCACCAAGCACACCTGGATCACCAAGCACACCTCAATCACCAAGCACACCAGAATCACCAAGCACACCAAGATCTCCTAGCACACCTGGATCACCAAGCACACCTGGTTCACCTAGCACACCAGGATCACCAAGCACACCAGGATCACCAAGCACACCAGGATCTCCAAGCACACCTGTGTCACCAAGCACACCTGGATCACCAAGTACTCCTGGATCACCAAGCACACCAGGATCACCAAGCACACCAGGATCACCAAGCACACCAGGATCTCCAAGCACACCTGTGTCACCAAGCACACCTGGTTCACCAAGCACACCAGGATCACCAAGCACACCTGGATCACCAAGTACTCCTGGATCACCAAGCACACCAGGATCACCAAGCACACCTGGATCACCAAGCACACCTGGTTCACCAAGCACACCAGGATCACCAAGCACACCAGGATCACCAAGCTCACCAGGATCACCAAGCACACCTGGATCACCAAGCACACCAGGATCACCAAGCACACCAGGATCACCAAGCACTCCTGGATCACCAAGCACACCTCAATCACCAAGCACACCAGAATCACCAAGCACACCTGGATCACCAAGCACACCTAGATCACCAAGCACACCAGGATCACCAAGCACACCTATATCACCAAGCACACCTCAATCACCAAGCACACCAGGAACACCAAGCACACCAGGAACACCAAGCACACCTGGATCACCAAGCACACCTAGATCACCAAGCACACCAGGATCACCAAGCACACCAGGATCACCAAGCACACCTGGATCACCAAGCACACCTCAATCACCAAGCACACCTCGATCACCAAGCACACCTCAATCACCAAGCACACCTAGATCACCAAGCACACCTCAATCACCAAGCACACCAGGATCACCAAGCACACCAGGATCACCAAGCACACCTGGATCACCAAGCACACCTGGATCACCAAGCACACCAGGATCACCAAGCACACCTAGATCACCTAGCACACCTGGATCACCAAGCACACCAGGATCACCAAGCTCACCTGTGTCACCAAGCACTCCTGGATCACCAAGTACTCCTGGATCCCCAAGCACACCAGGATCACCAAGCACACCAGGATCACCAAGCACACCTAGATCACCAAGCACACCAGGATCACCAAGCACACCTAGATCACCAAGCACACCTGGATCACCAAGCACACCTGGATCACCAAGCACACCTCAATCACCAAGCACACCTGGATCACCAAGCACACCTAGATCACCAAGCACACCAGGATCACCAAGCACACCTGAATCACCAAGCACACCAGGATCACCAAGCACACCAGGATCACCAAGCTCACCTGGTTCACCTAGCACACCTGGATCACCAAGCACACCAGGATCACCAAGCACACCAGGATCACTAAGCACTCCTGGATCACCAAGCACACCTCAATCACCAAGCACACCAGAATCACCAAGCACACCAGAATCACCAAGCACACCTGGATCACCAAGCACACCTAGATCACCAAGCACACCAGGATCACCAAGCACACCAGGATCACCAAGCACACCCGGATCACCAAGCACACCTCAATCACCAAGCACAACTGGATCACCAAGCACACCTCAATCACCAAGCACACCAGGATCACCAAGCACACCAGGATCACCAAGCACACCAGGATCACCAAGCACACCTGGATCACCAAGCACACCTGGATCACCAAGCACACCAGGATCACCAAGCACAAAAGGATCACCAAGCACACCTGGATCACCAAGCACTCCTGGATCACCAAGCACACCTGGATCACCAAGCACACCTGCATCACCAAGTACACCAGCATCACCAAGCACACCTGGATCACCAAGCACACCTGGATCACCAAGCACACCTGAATCACCAAGCACACCAGGATCACCAAGCACACCAGGATCACCAAGCACACCTAGATCACCTAGCACACCTGGATCACCAAGCACACCTGGATCACCAAGCACACCAGAATCACCAAGCACACCTAGATCACCAAGCACACCTAGATCACCAAGCACTCCTGGATCACCAAGCACACCTGGTTCACCTAGCACACCTGCATCACCAAGCACACCAGGATCACCAAGCACACCCGGATCACCAAGCACACCTAGATCACCAAGCACACCTCGATCACCTAGCACACCAGGATCACCAAGCACACCAGGATCACCAAGCACACCAGGATCACCAAGCACACCAGGATCACCAAGCACACCTAGATCACCAAGCACACCTAGATCACCAAGCACACCAGGATCACCAAGCACACCAGGATCACCAAGCACTCCTGGATCACCAAGCACACCTCAATCACCAAGCACACCAGAATCACCAAGCACACCAGAATCAGCAAGCACACCTGGATCACCAAGCACACCTAGATCATCAAGCACACCAGGATCACCGAGCACACCTGGATCACCAAGCACACCTGGATCACCAAGCACACCAGGATCACCAAGCACACCTGGATCACCAAGTACTCCTGGATCACCAAGCACACCTGGATCTCCAAGCACACCTGCATCACCAAGTACACCAGGATCACCAAGCACACCTGGATCACCAAGCACACCTGGATCACCAAGCACACCTGAATCACCAAGCACACCAGGATCACCAAGCACACCAGGATCACCAAGCACACCTAGATCACCTAGCACACCTGGATCACCAAGCACACCTGGATCACCAAGTACACCAGAATCACCAAGCACACCTAGATCACCAAGCACACCTAGATCACCAAGCACTCCTGGATCACCAAGCACACCTGGATCACCAAGTACTCCTGGATCACCAAGCACACCTGGATCACCAAGCACACCTGCATCACCAAGTACACCAGGATCACCAAGCACACCTGGATCACCAAGCACACCTGGATCACCAAGCACACCTGAATCACCAAGCACACCAGGATCACCAAGCACACCAGGATCATCAAGCACACCTAGATCACCTAGCACACCTGGATCACCAAGCACACCTGGATCACCAAGCACACCAGAATCACCAAGCACACCTAGATCACCAAGCACACCTAGATCACCAAGCACTCCAGGATCACCAAGCACACCCGGATCACCAAGCACACCTGGATCACCAAGCACACCTAGATCACCAAGCACACCTAGATCACCAAGCACACCTGGATCACCAAGCACACCTGGATCACCAAGCACACCAGGATCACCAAGCACACCTAGATCACCAAGCACTCCTGGATCACCAAGCTCACCAGGATCACCAAGCACACCTGGATCACCAAGTACACCTAGATCACCAAGCACACCTCAATCACCAAGCACACCAGGATCACCAAGCACACCTAGATCACCAAGCACACCAGGATCACCAAGCACACCTGGATCACCAAGCACACCTGGATCACCAAGCACACCTGAATCACCAAGCACACCAGAATCACCAAGCACACCAGGATCACCAAGCACACCTAGATCACCTAGCACACCTGGATCACCAAGCACACCTGGATCACCAAGCACACCAGAATCACCAAGCACACCTAGATCACCAAGCACACCTAGATCACCAAGCACTCCTGGATCACCAAGCACACCTGGTTCACCTAGCACACCTGCATCACCAAGCACACCAGGATCACCAAGCACACCCGGATCACCAAGCACACCTGGATCACCAAGCACACCTAGATCACCAAGCACACCTCGATCACCTAGCACACCAGGATCACCAAGCACACCAGGATCACCAAGCACACCAGGATCACCAAGCACACCAGGATCACCAAGCACACCTAGATCACCAAGCACACCTAGATCACCAAGCACACCAGGATCACCAAGCACACCTAGATCACCAAGCACTCCTGGATCACCAAGCACACCTCAATCACCAAGCACACCAGAATCACCAAGCACACCAGAATCAGCAAGCACACCTGTATCACCAAGCACACCTAGATCACCAAGCACACCAGGATCACCGAGCACACCTGGATCACCAAGCACACCTGGATCACCAAGCACACCAGGATCACCAAGCACACCAGGATCACCAAGCACACCTGGATCACCAAGTACTCCTGGATCACCAAGCACACCTGGATCTCCAAGCACACCAGGATCACCAAGCACACCAGGATCACCAAGCACACCTAGATCACCTAGCACACCTGGATCACCAAGCACACCTGGATCACCAAGCACACCAGAATCACCAAGCACACCTAGATCACCAAGCACACCTAGATCACCAAGCACTCCTGGATCACCAAGCACACCTGGATCACCAAGTACTCCTGGATCACCAAGCACACCTGGATCACCAAGCACACCTGCATCACCAAGTACACCAGGATCACCAAGCACACCTGGATCACCAAGCACGCCTGGATCACCAAGCACACCTGAATCACCAAGCACACCAGGATCACCAAGCACACCAGGATCATCAAGCACACCTAGATCACCTAGCACACCTGGATCACCAAGCACACCTGGATCACCAAGCACACCAGAATCACCAAGCACACCTAGATCACCAAGCACACCTAGATCACCAAGCACTCCTGGATCACCAAGCACACCTGGTTCACCTAGCACACCTGCATCACCAAGCACACCAGGATCACCAAGCACACCCGGATCACCAAGCACACCTGGATCACCAAGCACACCTAGATCACCAAGCACACCTAGATCACCAAGCACACCAGGATCACCAAGCACACCAGGATCACCAAGCACACCTGGATCTCCAAGCACACCTGCATCACCAAGTACACCAGGATCACCAAGCACACCTGGATCACCAAGCACACCTGGATCACCAAGCACACCTGAATCACCAAGCACACCAGGATCACCAAGCACACCAGGATCACCAAGCACACCTGGATCACCAAGCACACCTGGATCACCAAGCACACCAGGATCACCAAGCACACCTAGATCACCTAGCACACCTGGATCACCAAGCACACCAGGATCACCAAGCTCACCTGTGTCACCAAGCACTCCTGGATCACCAAGTACTCCTGGATCCCCAAGCACACCAGGATCACCAAGCACACCAGGATCACCAAGCACACCTAGATCACCAAGCACACCAGGATCACCAAGCACACCTAGATCACCAAGCACACCTGGATCACCAAGCACACCTGGATCACCAAGCACACCTCAATCACCAAGCACACCTGGATCACCAAGCACACCTAGATCACCAAGCACACCAGGATCACCAAGCACACCTGAATCACCAAGCACACCAGGATCACCAAGCACACCAGGATCACCAAGCTCACCTGGTTCACCTAGCACACCTGGATCACCAAGCACACCAGGATCACCGAGCACACCTGGATCACCAAGCACACCTGGATCACCAAGCACACCAGGATCACCAAGCACACCAGGATCACCAAGCACACCTGGATCACCAAGTACTCCTGGATCACCAAGCACACCTGGATCTCCAAGCACACCTGCATCACCAAGTACACCAGGATCACCAAGCACACCTGGATCACCAAGCACACCTGGATCATCAAGCACACCTGAATCACCAAGCACACCAGGATCACCAAGCACACCTGGATCACCAAGCACACCTAGATCACCTAGCACACCTGGATCACCAAGCACACCTAGATCACCAAGCACACCTAGATCACCAAGCACACCAGGATCACCAAGCACACCTAGATCACCAAGCACTCCTGGATCACCAAGCACACCTCAATCACCAAGCACACCAGAATCACCAAGCACACCAGAATCAGCAAGCACACCTGGATCACCAAGCACACCTAGATCACCAAGCACACCAGGATCACCGAGCACACCTGGATCACCAAGCACACCTGGATCACCAAGCACACCAGGATCACCAAGCACACCAGGATCACCAAGCACACCTGGATCACCAAGTACTCCTGGATCACCAAGCACACCTGCATCACCAAGTACACCTGCATCACCAAGTACACCAGGATCACCAAGCACACCTGGATCACCAAGCACACCTGGATCACCAAGCACACCTGAATCACCAAGCACACCAGGATCACCAAGCACACCAGGATCACCAAGCACACCTAGATCACCTAGCACACCTGGATCACCAAGCACACCTGGATCACCAAGCACACCAGAATCACCAAGCACACCTAGATCACCAAGCACACCTAGATCACCAAGCACTCCTGGATCACCAAGCACACCTGGATCACCAAGTACTCCTGGATCACCAAGCACACCTGGATCACCAAGCACACCTGCATCACCAAGTACACCAGGATCACCAAGCACACCTGGATCACCAAGCACACCTGGATCAC